TACTACTACTACTACTACTACTACTACTACTACTACTACTACTACTACTACTACTACGACTACTACGACTACTACGACTACTACGACTACTACTACTACTTCTACTACTACTACTACTACTACTACTACTACTACTACTACTACTACTACTACTACTACTACTACTACTACAACGATTCCTCCTCCTCCTCCTCCTCCTCCTGCGTCCTCCTCATCCTCCTGCCCCTCCTCCTCCTCCTCCTCCTCCTCCTCCTCGTCCTTCCTCCTCCTTTTCCTCCGTCCTCCTGGATTCCCTCCTCATCTTGTGTCCCTTGTCCCTACTCCTCCTCCTGCCCCACTCCTCCTCTCCCCTCACCCCTCCTTCTTCCTCCCTGGTTGCGCCCTCTCGCCCTCACTCCGCCCTCGCCCCCCTCCCCGGCTCTGGGCGTGCACCCCCCCCCCCTCGCTGCACGAGGCGGCGCCCCTGTCCCCGGCACTCAACGCGCGCGGCTCTGCGGGACATCTGTCGCTGTCTGGCAGCCGCGCCGCGGCCTCAGCACGGGACGGAGACCAGCACCTGCGCGGCTGTCGAGGAGGGGGGCGGGAAGGGGGGGGGGAGGGAGGGATGCTGGAAAAAAATCGTACACCTTTGTGATGGTCATCATGATTTTCGCCCCCCGCGCCCCCAGTTTTAATACTGGCAGGCTGTGGCACGATGTGTCGATCTGCCGACGGGCCTGAATCCTGCACCCCGCGGGCGCAGCCAATCGACATTGAATCGGGGGCAGGGGGGCGCGTGGAAGTTTGCGCCGTCGCCCCGGTTGCGCGGGTGGTGCAGGATTTGGTCCATCAACCGAAGGAATGCTAGATGCTGGATGAGCCTGCCTCGGAAGAGGCAGGTCCGAGGAGAAAATGGTAGAACGCAGGGGTCAGCAGCGCCACGAATCGGCAACGCAACCAGGACACGAAACTGGCCCTTCGCATCAAAACCGCCAGCATCAACTGACAAAAACCATCTCGCAATCACCGTGCGGCTCGCAGTGGGAATACAAGGGCACAAAAAAGGCACCTGAACGGATGCAACGCGTGAAGGCTAAAGGTGTGGGACTCACGCAAGAAGAGGATTCACAGCCGTAAAATCCCATAGCTCGTGAAAGAGTCGGAAGGGGAGGAAGGAGAGATGAGTACGGCGAAGAGGAGAATGAGGAGGATGGCGAGGGAGTGAGGGAGGAAGGTGCTTAGTTGGTTGGTTGGTTGGTTGGTGCAAGGTGTCGCATAAGGGTGATCCTCGCATCCAGGCCACGCCGAACGACAATGTAAAGCGTTGTGCTGCTCAACCGTTCCTCGTGCTGATCCGCTTTAACTACCCGATTCAGTCACTGTTCCGCGCATACCTCCCACCGTTCGCCGCCCCTCTCGAAAGTAAACCAGGCCCGAGAGAATTCCACCAGCCCTGTGGACGTAGGTGGTTTAACGAACCAGTCCCTCCTTCCCGTGCTCGGGGGAGGGGGTGATCACTGCTCATTATCAAAATACACCCCCTCTTCCATCCGACTGTGGGCCAACCCGAGACACGCCACCCCCCATCCCCCCCCCACCAACCCTGCCCAAAAACAATACAGAATGCACGCTGCCTCTAAATTTGGAGTGTTTGACAGGGACAGCGGGGGAGCCAGCACTTTGCTTAAACGTGGAGCACGTGCCGCACATGGCGCGCCTGGCTCGCTTGGGCCTCCAGGGTGTCTGGTTCGTGGCGCACATGGCATGCGTGGCGCTCCTAAGCAGTATGCTGAGACTCCCTCGGGTGGTACTTCTGTGTTGGGAAGGCAGGTGTGACTGAGCGAGACAGCTAGCGGGCGAAGGGGGGGCCTCGACCCCTCCCCCTACCCCTACCCCTCCCCTGGACCCGGGAGGGAGGGGGACGGGGTAGTTAGATCGCCCAAGAGGGCTCCAAGAGGGCTCCAAGAGCCACGAGCGCCCAGAGCGCTCCAAGAGCGCCCAAAGAGGGGCCCGAGACGCCCCGGTTGAGCATCAGAGGGGAGAGGGGGGGGGGAATGTCACCGCCCCCCACGCCCAAGAGGCTTCCCAGACCACTCCAAGGAGCCTCAAGAGGGCCCCAAGACACCCAAAATGAGCTCCAAGATGGCCACGGGGGCAGGGCGAATCTGCATGAGGCGATCCTTTCCCCCGTGTCTGCAGGCCAGAACCACCATGACGGCCGCCTCAGCCCCCCGGCCCAGCTCGAAACCTGGGGGACCGCTGCGCTCTGAGTCGGTCCTGCAGTCGGGGCCAAGAGCGGGGCCAGGCCAACAGGATACACGGAGACCGCCAGGCCACGCGGCAGGCGTGCGAGAGCGAGGAGGCCCGTCCGTGGGACACCAGCGGGGCCAGGCGGGGGGATCCGAGGGCCCCCATGCAGGATCAGCGCAGCCCAGGACACCTGGCGTCGCGCTTCACGCCCCGCGAAGAGCCGAGCGCGGGGATCTTCGCACTCTCGCGCGGCCCCCCGTGGACAACCACAACGGTTCTCTTCGCGACCCTCTGGATGACCTGCGCGACCGCGCCGCCCGCTTCGCCCTCAGCACTGAGGCGGAAGACTCTCCAGAGATGTGCAGGGTGTCCCTACAGGCGAGGAAGGGGAGGCACTCGAAGAGCGCCTTCACTGAACCAGGGGCTGACGACACGAATCACAGCGATAGCAAGATGAAAGGAAGCAGGAAAGCGACTGGTGCGACCCCGGCTGCGCCAGGGCAGCGCAGTGGACTCCCCAGGGTCTGGTGCGCATCCGAGCCAATCTCGGCCCGATCCGTCCTGAAGGTGTGACGCTGGGCTGCAGCGTTTGCAGCTGCCTCCCCCTGATTTTCGCTGCTTGACGGGTCGAGAACGTTTTGAGGAATACGGCAGATTCTTGTCGTGTCGACCCCAGCGTTGGTTCCTGACACCGCGGGGACCGTTCAACCTTGCACGATCGGCCGCTTCCGCAACGTCCGATCGTTCCACATCGACCGATTCTGGGCCGCCGCCGGCGTTCAACGTTCAACGCCGCTGGCGGGGTCGCCGCCGGTCGACACGACACGAACCTACCGTGCACGGGCGCGGAACGAGCAGTCATCACGCGGAGCGCGCGCGGGAAGATCGGCCGCGCGGGTGCGCCTGCGGCCCTCGCCGCCTCCTCGAGGCCACTTTCGTGGCCAATCTCGATTCACAGCGCCGCCTCGTCGGCGGCCAGCTCGGACGGCGCCAGGCGCTCTCAAGAGCCGAGCGTCTGCCCCACACCTGCCCGGGGACTGGGGGGGGGCACGGGGGGGCCGATCCTCGCACACCCATGCTTCTCCCATTCGGCGAGGGGCTCATCACTGTTCCTCAAGAATACACACCCCATCCCCCACCCGATCGGGGGCGAACTCGGAATCATGATAATCCCCCCCAAATATCCCCTGCAAAAAAGCTGTACGATGTGCGCTGTGCGGCAAAATCTGGATCATGCGCGGGCACCAAGCCATCACTTCGCACGTGCTTTTAACAGGAACGAGGGGGGGGTACCTGCAGCGCGCAGGCGTACCATCCCCGTCAAAAAATTATCCCAGTGCGACCCTACCTAGGAGTTGGAGCCCCTAGGAAAGCAGCAGTAGTAGTAACAGAAAAGCTAAGCTCAAGCTAAGATAAAGCTAAGCTAAAGCTAAGCTAAAGATAAGATACAGCTAAACTAAAGCTGAGTTAAAGCTAAGATAAAGCTAAGCTAAAGCTAAGCTAAAGCTAAGATAAAGCTAAGCTAAAGCTAAGCTAAAGCTAAGCTAAAACTAAGCTAAAGCTAAGCTAAAACTAAGCTAAAGCTAAGCTAGAGCTAAGCTGAAGCTAAGCTAAAGCTAAGCTGAAGCTAAGCTGAAGCTAAGCTGAAACTAAGCTAAAGCTAAGCTAAAACTAAGCTAACGCTAAGCTAGAGCTAAGCTAAAGCTAAGCTAGAGCTAAGCTGAAGCTAAGCTAAAGCTAAGCTGAAGCTAAGCTGACGCTAAGCTAGAGCTAAGCTAAAGCTAAGCTGAAGCTAAGCTGAAGCTAAGCTAAAGCTAAGCTAAAGTTAAGCTAAAGCTAAGCTAAAGCTAAGCTAAAGCTAAGCTAGAGCTAAGCTAAGCTAAGCTAAGCTAGAGCTAAGCTGAAGCTAAGCTAACGCTAAGCTAGAGCTAAGCTAAAGCTAAGCTAAAGCTAAGCTGAAGCTAAGCTAGAGCTAAGCTAGAGCTAAGCTGGAGCTAAGCTGAAGCTAAGCTGAAGCTAAGCTGAAGCTAAGCTAGAGCTAAGCTAGAGCTATGCTGAAGCTAAGCTGAAGCTAAGCTAAAGCTACGTTAAAGCTAAGCTGAAGCTAAGCTAAAGCTAAGCTAAAGCTAAGCTAAAACTAAGCTAAAGCTAAGCTGAAGCTAAGCTGAAGCTAAGCTAAAGCTAAGCTGAAGCTCAGCTGAAGCTAAGCTAAAGCTAAGCTAAAGCTAAGCTAAAACTAAGCTAACGCTAAGCTAGAGCTAAGCTAAAGCTAAGCTGACGCTAAGCTAGAGCTAAGCTAAAGCTAAGCTGAAGCTAAGCTGAAGCTAAGCTAGAGCTAAGCTAAAGCTAAGCTGAAGCTAAGCTAAAGCTAAGCTAAAGCTAAGCTAAAGCTAAGCTGAAGCTAAGCTAAGCTGGGTGAACCCAAGGGGCGCAACTGGGGGAACCGCGGGGCGGCAACTGGGGGAACCGCCCGGGGCGCGTTCCACTGCCCGGCCCCTTTAAGCTTAAGAACCCTCTAGGCAGAGCCTAGGTAGGGAATAAGTACGAAAGACACTTTGCGGCAAAATCTTGATCATGCCCGCGCGCGCCCCGCGATCACTCTGCATTGTTTTGACAAGGATGATTGGGATGCCCTGACACGCGCGGCGCACCTCGCGGGCGTTACGCTCCTGTCTGGCGTCTGCATTGGTTCCCGATGATTGTCGATGGCGGCCAGTGCGCATGCTGAGACTCCAGTGCTACCTATGTGGCGGGAGGGCAAGCGCGAGTGAGACACTCAGCAGTCCGTCGGGGGGGTAGTTTGACCCCTCCCCCTACTCCCTCCCCGTAGGTCTGGCAGGAGGGGCCGCGACCCACTGGAGCGTCCAAGGCCCAGCATGGCCCCAAGAAGGGCCAAGGGAATCCTGGACGAAGCCGCAGAGGGCGTCAGGCGTCCTGGTGGCTGTGGAGACGGGATAGGGCAGAGGCGGCCCAACAGAAGCAACTCTGCGACCGCGATGGGCCAGCAGCATCCGGTCGGAACCTGTGCCGCCACCGCCCCAGCATGGTTCTGCGGAGACCTGCCGGAGCGCAGTGAGGAGCGACCGTGCCGCCCCACGGGAGGGCGGCCGCCCCTGGAAAAAACCAGCCGCCGTCTTCGCTGCCCCATTCCAGGAGGGCCCCGGAAGCCTGAAGCACCGAGGGAGTCAGTGAGTCCCCCCTACTGACTACCTACCAGACCACCCCAACCCAACCCGAAGACCCGAATTTCGGGTTGGGGGGGGTATGGGCTCCACATGTTTTTTTCGATGTTCCCGGACCCCCCCCCACTAGAAATCGAGGGTAAATCTGAGCCTTCGGGTTGGGTTGGGGTGGTTTGGTGGGTGGTGAGGCCTACACTCACTCTCTGCCGAGCACCCGAGCCGTCTCCAATTCTTCTCAAAAACTTATCTCCGATGATTCCCCCTCCCCCCCGCCCTCATTGAAGTTGTCCTCCTCCTCCTTCTCCTCCTCCGTTTCCTCCTCTTTCTTTTTCTCCTCCCCCCCTCCCCCCCCCTGCCACTGCCCGCGCCCACTGCGCCCGTTGTCGTTGCTTCTCCACCGTGCGCCCAACGTCCTGCCAGTCTCCTCTCGCCCACCCCTTCTTCGGTCAGCATCCTGTTTTCACTTCCCCCTTAAGTATCCGCCACCGTGCCTCGAGGCACGAAGTGGAGTTACCCCCAGGCTCACATGTTTTTTCTGTTCTCTGCACGCAGGACTGGGAGATTCTACTGATTATTCCCAGGGCTGGGGGCCCAGAATTCTCAAATTTCCTGGGCGCTCCCGTGCGCTACTGGCCCGCCTCGCTTGACGCTTCCAGGGGCCACGGCGCCCCAAGACAGACCCAGAGGGGCCCAGAAGGCGCTCAAGAGGGTCCAAGAGGCTGCCAAGACAGCCCAAGACGCCCCAAGACGCCCCAAGACGGCTCCAAGACGGAGCCCAAGATTGCTCCAAGACGCCCAAGATGGCCCCAAGACGGCCCAAGAGGCCCCAAAGAAGCCCCAAGAGCGCTCCAAGAGGACCCCCAAGAGGGCCCCAAATCATTGATGTTCCTTGTGCTTCCTGCGTGGGTCGCGATCTCCCGTGTTCGGGCTTCCGACGCTCCAAGATGGCCCCAGAGGCCCCCAAGACCGCCCCAAGGCGGCCAAAGAGGCCCCCAAGAGGACCCCAAGACGGTCGAAGAGGGGCCCAAAACAGCCCAAGAGGCGCCCAATATCGCTTAAGAGGGCCTCCAAGCGGCCCCAAGAGGGGCCCAAGAGGGAGAACACGAACCGACAATTCAAGCCTTCCACCCCAAGAGGCCCCCAAGAGAGCCCAAGAGGCCCCGTAGAGGCGCCCCCAAGAGGCACAAAAAGAGTCCGCTGAGAGGCCCCCAAACGGCCCCCAAAGAAACCTCAAAACTGCCTCCAGGAGGCCCCCGAGAGGCCTCCCACGATATCCAAACGAACACCCAAGAGGCATCGAACCCACAACCCAAGCACGGTGGCGGGATGGGCCGAAGGCCAAAAGACATAACGTTCCCGTCCTCCTCCTCCTCCTCCTCCTCCTCCTCCTCCTCCTCCTCTTCTTCTTATTATTATTATTCTTCTTATTCTTCTTATTATTCTTCTTAGTATTATTCTTCTTGTTCTTATTATTATTCTTCTTATTGTTCTTCTTATTATTCTTCTTCGTCTTGTGATTATTATTATTATTCTTATTATTATTCTTCTTCTTATTATTATTATTATGATTCTTATTATTATTCTTCTTATCCTTCTTATTATTATTATTATTGTTATTCTTATTATTCTTCTTATCATTATTATTATTCTTATTATTATTATTCTTCTTTTTCTTCTTATGCGTCT